GCATGACTACCACTGCTAAGCTAACGGCGGCTAATGTCCAGCCTTATGATGTTTAGTTGTGTCATGTAGCCACTTGTTAGCAACCATGTAAAAGCTTCAACAATTCACATTCAATATACATTCACTTTAAGACAAGGGAGGCAGAAGTTCAACATGCTGACTCACCTCCGGTTATAAGGACTCCTTCCTGCACCACTTTCTAACGATACCTAAGGAACGACTACAAGTTGATCGATGCCAACGTAGCTTGCAGCATCTTTACTGCCACACTCACTTAGATTCTTAAAACATAATTGAACTGAGTGTTCTACTTAATGTTCAGTCTCTCTCTCTCTCTCTCTCTCTCTCTCTGTGTCTCACTCTCTGTCTCACTCTCTGTCTCTCTCTCACTCTCTGTGTCTCACTCTCTGTCTCACTCTCTGTGTCTCACTCTCTGTCTCACTCTCTGTGTCTCTCTCTCTCTGTCTCTCTCTCTATCTCTCTCTCTGTGTGTCTGTCTGTCTCTCTCTCTCTCTCTCTCTCTCTCTCTCTCTCTCACTCTCTGTGTCTCACTCTCTTTCTCCTCTCTGTGTCTCACTCTCTGTCTCACTCTCTGTGTCTCTCTCTCTGTGTCTCACTCTCTGTCTCTCTCTCTCTCTGTGTGTCTCTCTGTCTCTCTCTCTATCTCTCTCTCTCTGTGTGTCTGTTCTGTCTCTCTCTGTCTGTCTCTCTCTCTCTCTCTCTCTCTCTCTGTGTTCCTCTCACATCCCACCTTTCTGCTGTTGACATCACTTCCTGTCTCTTTCAGCCCTCATACTCCCCCGGGCAAGCTGTTGTGTTTGCCTCCCCTCCTCCACAGATGAACCCGACACCTCAGCCCCGACAGGTAAACCCCCCCCCCCACACACACACACTGCTCACCTGACACCTCCATAGTAGAAAAAGAGACACAATATAACCTAGCGTACAGTCACCTGAATGCATCTGTGATTTCATGTCCTGCTTCTCACCAGTTCTGCACCCTGTTTGGTCTCATTTCTTATGACCAGTTGTCATTTTTAATGTCAGCGTCAACTATCCTTAATATCCTTAACCCCATACCTCACCCAGTGCCAATGTGCTCACAGCATGATTTTAAACTGCTTAATGCTCCTAGTGAACGCAGGAACTCTGGGAGTCAGTCACATCATTTGGGGTTGTTTTGTCATCCTAAATCTTCTACAACATTCATGGTTTGAATATAGCCAGAAAGTTAATAATTATGTCATTAACCACATTTTGGACTCATTGTAGAGCGATTACACCTATATCTCAGTCATTTCCCTTGCAGCTAAAGAGTAGCCCCGCAAAAATAACAAGTTAAGAGGTGCAACAGCAATGATGGGTGCAAGGGGCTCATTCTGCATGTGTGGTAAATTATTAGAGCTCGACCAGTAAATCAAACGACCCTTGTTTCTGAATTGTTGACCCAAAGTTTCAAATGTTTTGTTCGAAAGTCTTTTGTACCATTTGCACTGTATATCACCGTAAAGATCGTGTTATTTAGGTTTTTTCCTTCAAATTAAAATAGCTATATTGTTAAGTCATTGGGTAAGACAAACCAAAATGGGGAAATTAAGTGAAAAAGTGGGCAAACTAAAACCCCTCTGTTTGAGTTTTGGAAACCAGTTTTTCAGACTTTTAAACATGACGCGTATCAGCGTTCTAGGTGCAGATTTAAAGGTGCAGAACTGGAGCAAGTGGAGCATGGATTGTTGTTGTCTTTAACCTCTGCTCTGTCTGCCTCTTCTCCTCTAGTTTGCCCCCGGGCCGCGGCCTTTACACCAACAGGTACTAACAGCACAATGACTAATGGCGCATTTCCACTGCAGAGCCTCGCACGGCTTAGTACGGTATAGCTAGGCCTTGGTAGGCCAGGCTCACTTTATGCTGCGTTTCCATTACAGTTTAGGAACTGGGGCAGTAACTATAGTAACGCAGTGTAGGCGGAGCCGTGACGTCATCTTCAATGCGAAAAACAGAAAACCAACATCAGCCGTTAGCTGTTAGCCCTCAGAGCTCACAGCTCCTCATATCTGTTCAGAAACTAGACAGAAGTGAAACAAGTACAAACCAAAGACTGTCTGTGTCATGGTGAATACAGTCGCTGGTTTATTTATGTCTGTAGGCCGTTGTTGTGAGTGTGGACGGTCGGAGCATTTACAACGTTAGCTTAGCCGATCTCCATTCAGAAAACACGCATGTTAAAAGGTGTTTCGCCTGCCGTCTGTCTGCAGACTTGTCAAAGCATTAATTCCTTTTTTTTTACTATCCGGTATCAGTATGTTGTTACTTCGGCATCATTTTGAAACGTGTATTACAATTAAATCACGGTCAAATATGTTCATCTTGTTGTAGTTGTAGCCCCCTTGCCGTCACTAGTTTAGCATACTCAGCCCGGTTGTTGGCCCGGAAAGAACCNACTGAGCTGTGTGGGGTTTGTTCAACTTTTAAAAGATGTTTGAATGGTGATATACACAGTGATAGATGTTAAGGACTAACGTTTATAATAAATACATCTGTATTTATTATAAGATCTTTTCATACAATCATACGTATTGGGATCATTTGTATTAATGTGGACCGGAGGGAGAGGGTGACGAGCATAAGTTATACTTTCCTTTTTTATTTCAATTCCAACTTTGGTCATGAAGAATATGTTTCTCTGTTGTCCACGTTCATAAAGCATAAAACAACAGCATCAGAGCACGGTGCAGAGTCTCTAGATGAGTTTACAGTAGTCCCTCCTTCTTATTAAACATCCATGTTGTAGTCCACTGTATAGAAAACTGTAGTTTCCTTAGTTTCCCCACAGCAGCAGCAGACGCACATTGATGACGTCTGCTGGCGCATCATAAACACGTTGGATAGTGAAAGTGCATTCGGATTCTCTAAAGTACCGTAGTCTCTTCTAAGTCCTTTGAATTCTCCTATCCACTATCCCTTAACCCCGTGACGTTTCACTCAGAGGTCAAGGAATAGGAGATAGGGTTATAATTTAGGAGCTAATTTTTAAACTATCTGACCGCAACCAAAGAAACTAAAATGTTTCCTTTTTCTGTGTGACAGTAATGAAATAAAATCACCTTGGTGGAAGTCCTTATTTAGTGTGTGTTTCACAAGCATGGAGAAAAACTAGGACCCCAGACCCTCTGCCCTGTTTATTCCTGTACAGCTGCAGCCTGGAGATTTCAATCGTATGCCACGGATTGGATACCATGGTGAAGAGAATATGAACTTTTCATTAGGTTCGTCCTAGCTAAATATTTTATTCGAGTCAACATCATAATAACACTCCAAATTCATTCATATTAAGGCATTACATTTTCTCAAATAAAATGGGCTGCCATGACTCGACCACTCATCAACATTGGTAGTGGTACCTAAGAGAGGAATTTAAGAACAACTAAATGCCACAAATTGTCCTGAATTACTACAGGTCATGTGGTTCCCTCATGATAAATGAGCAAAGACACAGATAGTAATGCATTTGTGATTCTCAGCAGCAGCATAACTCCATCATGACTTCACAGAGCTTAAAACAATATTGTTAAAGTATATTTTAGGAATGCCAGAGATAACTAAACGTTGTTAGACAGCAGACCTCTGAACTAAACTCATGCATCTCCCAAGTCTTAGCAGTCAGACTGTGCAGCCAACTGATAGCAGCAGAAGCTGAGCCAATCCAATATACAGTGTGATGGATGTGACAACCAAAAAGATAAGAAATAACAAAGTACACTGTGGTACGGTGGCCGACAAGTGCAAAGGCAATACAGCAGCCCAAACATTTCCTTAAAGAACAATGCAAATAAAAAACACAAACATGCAAATGAAAAGAAACATCTTCCCAAACTTGACAACAAATGAACATTTACTAAAAGTGCTGCATAAATGAAACACTTCAAATACAAAACGCTGCAAGCTCAAAACACAACTGAAACGGGGAGACAAAGAAATGAGGCACACAGCTGGGACCCTTGTTGACGTTCAGGGATTACACACATTTTGTCTTTTTCATAACTGTAAGTGTTTTGTCAGTATTTTCTGAAATGACTAGGTTAGCTACATTAGCTAGCTAGCTAGCTTACTGCAGATCTGCAATAGTTTTGTATTTGGAGCATTTTGTTTATTGAAGCTGTTTTACTAAACGTTGCACATTTTTCTTGAAGTTTGTGAATGTTTTCTAAACTGCATGTTTCTCCTAATGCAAATGTTTTGGGCCGTTGTAGCTCGTTTGCATCTGCTGATATCTCAGATTACTCCTGCTCACAAATGACTAATTTAAGGGCGATAATTAAATAAACAAGGTGCACAAAATACTCATTTCTGTCCACCAATAACTTTCCGGTATAAATTGACAGACAGCTGTAACAAACTCATGATGATTGAGGAAATGCTAACAGCTAACAGGAACAGATGTGGGCTGTATCTTGCCTTCCTACATTCTGCAGTGGCCTCATATGATAACTTGGTGTATAAATAACTACCACTGGCTGATGATAATTACAGATACGTGTTAAATATGTTTCCTGACAATTTGAAGGAATCCGCTCATTGGCACTATTCAGAGTCTAACAGGCATTTGGAGGTGAGGACACACTGCTGCAAAATGTTAGGGGCCTAAGGGCTCATGTGATGGTGTCGATGCCTTCCAACTGGGACGAGGCTGCTGCACACAGATAAACACAATTGGCAATGGCAAAAAGAAAAGGCTAATTAACGGCACATACAGTAGTTCATTACAGCACAGTGTCATGTGATCTACGGAGGAGGATTAGGGCCACATGTGGATTTTGTTTAGAAATCTGACCAAATGTGATTTTCTTTTAGTACCGAGAAAAAAAGTCAAAATTCTGAAAAAAAATGCCAGACTTTTCTCCGAATTTTAACATTTTTAGAAAAAGTAATAAAAAAAAATATGACTTTTTTTCCTTTTGAAATATAAGTCATAATTCTAAGATTTTTTTTAAATACTGAGAATTTTGACTTTTTCTTAAAATGTGTGAGATTTTCAGAAAACAAGCCAGATTTATGACTTTAATCTTATAACTAAAGAAAAAACAATCACTTTTTGTCAGATCTAAAAAGACATCTACGTGGCCCTAATTATTTTCCGTATGAATCTGATCCCAGTGAAGCTATTTAAATGCAAACGTTTCTCTGAAATGAGGGACAATCAAACGTCCCGAGGTCCAGTGTCCAGTAAAAGGGTGGACAGACAGTCCTGTCCACGTGACAGCAGCTGCAGTGTGGACAGCAGCGGCTCGTGCACTCAGTCTCTGTCCCTCCACTTAGTCGTGCACGAGGATGGCCCTGCGTCCCAGCACTCTCCCCCACTCCCCCCGTCAGTACAGGCTCCAGCCTCGCTCATGCTGGGGGTAAAGTAATGCTGAAGAGCCGGGGGGGGAGGTGGTGAGCTCCCTGGGGCCGAGCTGCTTTCCACACACACACATTCAGTCCAGCTTCTCCTTCTGGACCAGCCTTGGAGCATCTACAAAGTCGGGTCCGTTAAAGAGGATGAGGCCGCTGGTCACCACGCTGGCAGACCCCCAGAACAGCACGTAGGCCAGGGTCTCCGTCCACGTTTCACCTAACAGGGGACAACATGCAGAGTCAGTGGGGGACATTTGAAGAGCCAGTATTGTGCTTTTTGGGGTGTGTTATAGGCTGGTGTGCATGTACATAGTCAGCAAAGGCTCAAATTCCTGAGTTCCCTCCTTGTCAATGTATCCTCTGTTCATTAGTGCACACATTGTATTTAGCTTAATGTAAAGATAAATAAACCCTGGTGTTGTTATATTTGTAGTGTATGTATGAAAATGGATTTGCCGTTTGTCTTACCAGCCATCAGCAGGCAGATGATGCACATGGAGAAAGCTACCACCATGACGATAGGCAACTAGAAAAGGAAAAAGAGACACGTCAAACACATCACAAAGAGACATAAATCACTCCACCTCTGTGAGCCTTTCTTACCGTCAAGAACTTCCAGTCTTTGGGCTCACGCAGCGGAGTGGTCCAATCAGATTCATCCACAGCATAGTTGCCTAGGAACAGATCAATGGAGTCCTGCACAAAACAGACAACTGTTACCTACTCTTCTTAGCTTTTTGCATCTCTTAATTCAGATGTCATATCAATCCAAAGAAAGAAGTCTGGTCAATTTTGGTCAGCTGTGGCCCAAAGAAATGCCCATTGGATACTTTATGGGCGCTGGCAGTGTTTAAAGACTGGTTAATGGAAAATAAAAAGTGAACAGACGTGGACAGTTACAGGAAACCTTCATTGATGCGGTCATTTGAAGTTATGTTGCTACGCAGTTGAAAGGGCTATATTTGCTTAGCAGAAACAATACAATCCTAACTTGTTTGTTTAAGTCAAATCAATGATGTATTTGGTAAATAGCGGTGTAATAAGCGAGTTTAATATGGCGGAGTGGTAAACACAAAGACTTATCCACATGTTTGGACCCACCTGTCTATATCCATCAGAGAAGTTGTTCTTGTAATATCGGATCATGGAGTTCCAGCCGTCCATCACCAGCCCCCAATGAGTCCTCTTCCCTGTCCTGAAAGATCACCATGTAGTTCAACACCAAACAGAATTCTCTATTGACCAACATCTCTGTGCACTTTTCTCATCAGAGTAAAACAAAACATCCTCCTCCACGATACTACTAGCTTAAAAGGAGTTAGCCTAGTCAATAGAATAAATAAAACCATGCGAACAATCAGTTACTGTCTGTTGAACATTAAAGGGGGACTGCCTGCTAAAATGCTTTGTTATAGAGTACAAATATTTCAGAATCCTAGCTAATCCAATGGTGGTATTTCAGGTCCTTGTGGTAGATTTTGAAATATGATTTGATATCTGACCTGGTGAAGTCAGTCTTCAGGGCTCCAGTGCCAGCGTACTGCTTGGCACAGGCATCAGCGTTGTCTGCCCAGGCTGCATGAGAACAGGAAGAGAAACAGATCAAGTTAACATCTAGGACCTTTAATGTAGACAAGACACTGTTGTGTGAGGGGGGGGGCTACCATTCTTGAACATCTTCCCAAAGGCCACCTGCTCTTCGATCTGCTGACCGACGTGGAGGACTCCCATTTTCTGTAGGCGCACACACACACACACACACACACACACACACACACACACACACACACACACACACACACACACACACACACACACACACACACACACACACACACACACTTGAGTTGAGTCAGTTCATTAGCTGTTAGTGCAACACTTCCTACAAGTTCACCTGTATATACTATTTATATGTCATATGTTTATTCTTATATTATATTATACTATACAGTACTTTGCACTTTACTGCTTCTGTTGCACTTCTGGTTAGATGCTAACTGTATTTCGTTGTTTCAGTACTTGAACTCTGTGCAACGTCAATAAAGTTGAATCTAATCTCAAAATCCAGTTCAATTAAAAACCAGACTTTCTTATTGAATTGATAAGAAACCACCTAATAGTTGAATAGTTTGCAATGACGTGTCCAAAGAATCACAAACTAACAACAACTAATCAGAAATCAAGTTAAATGTCCATTTTTGTTTGACAAATTCATATTTACACTGAACAATGATAGGGTGGAGAAGTTGGACTAGACTGTTTCTATGTCTTTCTCCACTGGGATGCATTGTAACACAGATTCAAGTGTCCTCTATGTGCTCTTGTTCCAGCCATTATGTCCACCTCCTAAAGCATTATGGGTGTAGTCTGTGGTTGCCTGTACCCGGAGCTGTGACTGCAGGGCGCGCTGGGCCAGCATGCTCTGGATGACGTTAGTCCGGTCCAGGCAGTCCATGCAGTTGCTGCGAAACGTGCCGTCCTGATGCAGCAACACCTTCCCATCTGCATCCACCAGGAAGTATCTGCATCCACACACACAGCATTACTTCTGATGCAGAGTGCATACATATGTACCTGGTTAGTGGCTCACGCAAACTGACCCAAGTTCATCCTGCATCTCAGCGACCATATCCAACAAGATCTGCAGGCGGTGCCACCTCATCCGACTGCACTCCTTATGGAAGTCAAAGGCGATGTACCTGCAGAAAAGGCAAGACTATAATATACTCCAAAATATAATGGAGTCAACTAAGTAGGAGGCCACATGTGGGCTGCCGGTCATCTTACTTGACCATGCCGTTTCCCAGGTCGGCCACCATCTTGTCGAAGGCCAGCTCCAGCGGCTTCTCTGAGCCCTTTTGGTTGATCTGTGAAAAAAAAAAAAAGACAAACGAGCATTAATGGGTATATCATAGTCATTGTATTATAGAGGACATGTTATGCTCATTTTCAGGTTCATATTTGTATTGAGTGCCTCTACTGTCTCCATGCTTTAATGTTCAGAAAGCTCTTTTTTTTTTTTTTCTCATACTGCCTGTGCTGCAGCACCTCTTTTCACCCTCTGTCTGAAACTAGAGCCCAGTCTGCTCTGATTGTTTAGCTGGCCGGCTCTGTTGTGATTGGTCAACTGCTTAGAGATGTCCAACCCCTTAGCCTATTATGTTTAATGTGTTGGAGCGCTAGCCAATAGAACTTTGAGTGTTATATTGGTGATGTCACTATGTTATACTATAGTATAATATAGGGGTGGGGGGGGGGGGCTGGGGTGTGTTGGAGAGAAACTCCCTCTGGAGGGAACACAGGGATTTTGCCTTTGCAGACCGTTTACATGCACACAATCCTATAACACACTACAGGGAAGGGAAAATCCCCAAAAGCATAATAGGGCCTCTTTCATTCATTTGACTGCTTCTTTGTAGTCAGTGAAGGATTGAAGAGTGTGAAACCAACATCTAGCTGAAACATTGACTTCATAACAGGAAAGTTACACAACTGATAGAATCAACACACACACGTGATTATTAGATCATCTTACCAAGTTCAAAATGACTTGTTTTCCATAGAGAATAACCTGCGAGTCAAAGTGTCTCTGGAACCCGTCCAACTACAGAAGAACAGAGAGAAGAGAGGCTGAGTGACAGGTGAAGAGACCGTGAGGTCTGGTTGTGTCTCGTGTTGCTGTGAGGTCAGCTTACGTGGTTCACTGTTTTGCTGATCTGTGGTTTGGGCTTGTACTTGAGGTTGGGCCTCTGGGACCAGAAGAAGGGGATGGAGCCTCTGGTCTGTGGGGAGAAGCATATCATCATCCTGCTTTCATAAACTCAACACACATTGAACCAAGTAAAGTTTGCAGCTTTTCATCTCAGCTTCAGCTTCAGCTGACACACTGTGTGACAGTACTGTGTGGAAATATGAAATATGAAACTCCTATCAAGGTGTATAAACATACTGAATTAGCACAAACTGAACACATATGGTTTGCAAAGTATGGTATCATGTTTAGGGTTGGGAGCCCAAACTAGAACCGATACCAATTGCCTGGTACCTGGTGCTCAAAGAAAGCAATTTAATTATGGTTTGGCTTATCAGTTAGTGAGACAGACTCCGGCAGAAGAAAGTCAGTTTGGCCTCTATAGAGCAGGGTCTAGAAGGTTACTTTTTGAATTCAATTCTGATGTCCTTACTTTTGCAAACAGCAATCTGGAAGCAGACGGGTGTTTACTACACAACATATGTTGGATATACAAGCAGTGTATGGTTGGATACTGGAGGAGACCGGGGGAGTCGCACATTGTCAAGTCCTGTTAGAACTAACTTGGATGAAGTGATTTTTTTGTTCTATGAAATATGCATTTGAGTTTTTACATTCACAAAATACAGAAATAAAGAACTGAAAGGAACCTAAATCGATAAGCAGAACCGAAATCGGAAGAGGAATAGTTCAAATCCAAACGATACCCAACCCTCATGATATGAAAACAAAACGTTGACATGACATTTGAAAGTGTCTTGACTGTTGTTCTTCACTGAACCCTTACTAGTTGAATCCTTCACTTCTTCCTTACAGCAGACTACCTCTCCTCTCTGGCTCACCTGAACAAAAGAAGCCTTGGAGCTGTTGAACTGAACGATCTGCTCCGTCTCCACGTAGTTAGCAGGATGGCCTTCAGAGTCGATGCCTGCACACAGAAACAGACATTATGCAGGAGAAGCTTCTCACTGACTGGGTTGGCTGGGTATAACATTATAGCAGCAGGTAATATAAACATACATCTGAATGTATCAGAAATACTGACATTGAAATAATGTCATGATGCATTTTATTTGCTACAGATTTTTCTGTACATGCAGCAGGTCATCCGCTCTGCAGAGAAGGTGATCAGCTGCAATCTGCCATCCCTCCACAACCTGCACGCCTCCAGGACCCTGAGGCGGGCAGGGAAGATAGTGGCCGACCCCTGCCACCCTGGACACAACCTGTTCACCCCCCTCCCCTCTGGCAGGAGGCTGCGGTCCATCAGGACCAAAACCTCTCTCCACCTGAATAGTTTCTTCCCCTCCGCTACCGGCCTCTTAAACAAGGCCCGGCCCCCCCCCTCTCACTTTACCTCTGCCACATCATAGATTCTATGCATTACATTAATGCACACACAATGTACAACATTATTTTGTATTACAGCTGATTTTTATTCCATATTTTATTCCTCCATTTAATTCCATTGCAATGTAAATAGTCTTATATTTTACTGTATATTTGTAATTATTTTAAATATTTTTCTAGTTGTCTTCCTGTGTTTTTAAACTACTTTTTGTCCTGCCATAAATAATCTGCACATTTTCAGTATGTTGGAAGACACAGAAAAGGTGTTACCTCGGACGTAGTAGCGGACCCCGGCTCTGAAGCAGCTCCTCCTGGAGATGATGCTCCACTCGAACACCTTCCCATTGATGCAGCTTGACCGCATGTCGATGACTGCTCAACAAATGTGTCAAGAAACTCACATGCAAAATCAAGGAGCGCTATACACATTAGGAAATCGTTCCCAGAAATCTGGGCACAAAAACACTTCTATCAACAAAGTACAGAAGCCAGACTTCAAAAAGAATAACCAAAAGAGCCCAACTTATTAAAAGGCTTTACTTATGTTGAGATGGGCCCAACATGCAGGTTCTCACACTCCTTCAATAAAACACAAATGTGCAGTGAAAGTGTGTCAGTCAGACAGCAGCAGGGAAGGATACAGCCATGGATAACAGGAAACACAAACTTGTGTACCTGGAAGATAAGAGCAGTGTCAGACAATGATAAGCTTTATTAGAGGAAATACAATGTTACCTTTGAGATGTCCTTACAGTCAGGATTAAGCAGGCAACATTTTGCTTTATTTCCAATGTCTTCCTATAGGATATCAAGGCCGACAAGCCTTCTCCACCAATAACTGAGCAACTCACCAGATCTTACATGTTGTAGAGGAAATACAGATCTATAACTGCTGTTGCCTGGGCTACAAGGGCAGAATAACAAACTGATGGGTAAAAATGGCTAAACTGCAACAGGAATTTGAAAATAACATGTTTTCCCAAGCACTTAAATATATTGAATATATTTGTATAATTGACTGTATTACAGTCGGGGAATGCTTCAAATATAATGAGACAATACAAAGTGATATTCCATGTTAGGATGGAAACATAGGAAGTATTTGTCTTTAGTTGTTGAGGTGGTGATGACGAGTTGACGGGAAATGGTTGAAATCCGTTGTTGCTGTTACTGCTCTAACTGTAGGTGTGTATCCTTCCTGTGTTATTGAGGATGCTCATGGGGAATAATCAGCAGTGAGACATTGTGTCTTACCTCTGGCTGTGCAAGGAATTCTCTCAACAGATGTCCGTTCCAGACAAAACGCTGATCTGCCTGAACAGGGACAGAGAGCACATGTTATACAGAGACAAATACAGGGGGACCCATGGGTGTGGGCTACACCTGGAGAGGAGGCCCACTGTAGGGAACACTCAAGAACATTACTCTTTTTTTCAAGTCATATTTATATTACATTTAGCTCAATCGACAGTTTGTCTATTAAGTGATCCGAAAACACCAAACAAAATAACCATAAATAAATAAGCAAACAAAATAAATAAATAAAAAAGAGAAATATTTCAGTTTGAAGAAGAACAAAAAATAGCAGGCAGCGTACAGAAGCACAATCAACCACAGGAGGGCCATTGATAGAACATATATTCTAATCACTTTTTTCAAGATTCCTCACATCCCAGCGCTTTCTACAGATGGGATGTCCGTCCATCTTCTTCTGATTGCTTGTCTTGCAGCTACCCTCAGTATTAAAATGAGGTGTTACGTTTTGGGGCATTGGGATATATATTTTTTTAAATCCTCTGGAGCAGAGAGAGGAGCTGTGGATTATTGTTATTGATTAATTCATCAGAGTTTCTTAGGGTCAAAAACACTAAACTCACAACTTAAAATGAAAGCGTTTAGTTTATTTAATAAAAGAGCACATGTTCAATGTGAAAAGTGACAGTAGATATAGATTAGTTGCAATTTGGTGCTATATATATAAAAAATAAAATAAAAATAGGGCCCCTTAATTTTTTATAACAAAAGCGTTATAGTTGCATATTTGGAATTATCCATTGAGATATATGGGTTTTAACTCATAGGACCATACAAAAACCTTTGAATGGATTCTGTGAATGATCTTTTTATGTCCAACAGTTTCCTGATTGGGCATGTCTTTCCTCACAGAGCCTGCATGGGGCTCACCCTCTCCAGAAGACTCATCTCCTGGAACTCGGGGCTGGTGTTGGCCAGGCGCTGCAGAGTGTGTGTCAGGTCGTAGTCCGTTGCAAAGTAGAAGCCGTCTGTGTGCAGCACATTGTTGATCATGGACATGAAAGTCTTGTTGTCTTGCATCTGAAACAAGAGCAGCAGCAGCAGAGGTCAACGATAAATACTGCAAACAGTCAGCAGAAGAAGGGACTGCTTGTAGATCGTTTGCCAGGTAAACTCATTTTTTACATCTAAATCCTCTCTAGCCTCCTCCAACAAATATCTGTTAAGTGTGTGTGTTTGGCTGACCTGCTCCAAAGACTATAGGTTACACAAGAAATGCATTAACCAGAGAGAAAAGGTGAATAAGAGTAGGCAACGAGTGACCCCAGTAGAACCAACTAAGATAGTTCTCTCCCACTGAGGAAATGGGAATAATATTGCATTGCATTATTATTATTATTATTACTCCTAGTTGAATACTGAATTGGTCTATTTGAACAGACAGAGGTCTGTTATTTTTCGCTAACTGACCGCTGCTAAGGAGAACAGATCGTTGCTAAGGAGGATCAAGGGACTATGTGCATTCATATCAATTCACAGAATGGACAGGAAGTAAACACTAACGGGAACAGCAGAAGAATAAAGACAGGAAGTAAACAGTAACGGTAAGTAAGTATCCCTTAACCCTGTGACCTCAAAAATCTACGGGGTTAAGGGATAGTGGATAGGAGAATTCAAAAGGATTTAGGAGAAGAGACTGCGGTGCTTTGAGAATACGACTGCACTTTCACTATCCGACGTGTTTATGATGCTCCAGCGGACGTCATAAATGTGCGTCTGCTGCTGTGGGGAAACTATGGAAACTACAGTTTGCTATACAGCGGACTACAACAATGGATGTATAATAAGAACGAGAGACTCTGCACCGTGCTCCGATGCTGTTGCTTTATGCTTTATGAACGTGGACAACAGAGAAACATATTCTTCATGACCAAAGTTGGAATTGAAATAAAAAAGGAAAGTGAAACTTATGCTTCACAGTATTAATCCACATGAATCCCAATACGTACGATTGTATGAAAAGATTTTAAAATAAATACAGTTGTATTTATTATAAATTTGTTAGGCCCTAATCTATCACTGTGTATATCACCATTAAAAATGTTTTTAAAAGTTTAACAAACCTCACACAGCTCAGTAAACACTGTGAAATGTTGACTTTATTTGATCATTTCAGTAAAAAAGTAACATTCATATTTCGCCTTTTGATTATTATAGTGTTGAACGTTCAAAACAAAGCACTTTGCAATGGCAAGTTACGTTTTTTTCCTAGTTTTAACACGACTAGAGTGAGATCTCTTTTCAGCTTTGGGAACACATCAACTCAAGGCCTACAGTGCGGTGCTCATAAGCAGTGATGCTTGATGATGGACAGGCCCTCCCAGCAAGTGAGGTCCGTCAGCTAGCCCCCCCCTCCATCNCACACGACGTTAATAATTAATGTGTCCACACAGCGGAGATGGACGAATTTCCAACTCTCCAAATAATGCTCAGACGTTCATATCTATTCGACCGTAAGTTTGGCCTACAGTTGATTCGAGGGCGAGGAAAATGACTTCATTTCCTTACTTATATAGTGGTGACAATGCTGTTGTCTCTGTGAACTGAGACTACCAGTTCATTTTGCACGATGACACTTTAATAGTAGTTTTAGTTAGTAAAAAGTCAATAGACATACTGTTCGATACCGACCACACCACACACACACATACCACGTACACATCACACAATACAAATACACACACACACCACCACACCACACCCACACACACACACACACACACACACACACACAACACACACCACACACCCACACACCACACACACACGCACGCACAGCACGCACCACGACACGGTGGACACAACACTATCTCTTCCTTATTCATCCCGTCTCACTCCCGGGCGCTCTCGTCCTACGGGACGGGCTGCTCTCTTGCGTCGACACGTGACACCTAGGTCTACAAAGAACTGAGTACCTCACACACACACACACACACACACAACACACACACACACACACACAACAACACACACACACTACACACCACACACACACACCACACACCACACACCACACAAGAACAACTTACTTTATATCACACAAGAAGTCTAGGAAATGAACTCCAGTTGCAAGATTATGGGTGTAAGTTTTACAATTCAAACGCCATTTTCCAAACTGAGAAGACCCACAAACTAGAGTTCCTGGGGAGCGAAGGTATATATTCTAGTAGTATAAAACATATTAAACAGTGCTGTACCCTTGTAAAAAGATGTCATTGATACCCTGTCAAAGATTGGAACATTCATAAGAGAATATAGAAGACTGAAATAAGTGTGAAAAGTAATACGAAGGATGACGACCTTAAAACATTGTCAACCACGAGTAAACTTGAGAAATATACTACAAAAAATCAAGACATCGTTACGTAATAAAGGCATATACTAGTAGATACAGAAACAAAAGGTGATAGGACATCTCGTGCTTAAAGTTAGAAGTTTACAGGGGTGCCAAAGAGTCTGTTTGTCCGGGACAATAGATTGAACACTTTACTAATAGTCGACTAAGCTCTATCACCTACTTGATGACATGAGACTTTTCATTCACTTCGACACCTCATTTCCTTACTACAATGACCACATTTCAGGTTCATGGAGTTTACCGATGTATTCACGCTCCATTGGACTCTAAAGTTATCGGTATTACCAATAATTATTGTCACGACCGTGATGTCGACCTCACAAATAAGTTTCTTGTCCACTCAGAAATACGTCATACGATCACACATATATTGACGGCGGACACGTCTGCGTTTGGTAGACGTGACATCAGAAGCGGCGAGAGGAGGTGCTCATGGTGGTAGCACGACGGTCTGTGTGGTACGTGTAAAAGGAAAAAACTTTCCGTTTTGCTGAGACACGTACTGTCATCGGTGAAATACAAGTGGTCGGGGAGGGAAAGGATAAGGGACTAGGTAGGCCGCGTAAGCTCAGCGAGAGCGTACTTGTGTGGTACGGTTGGGCTAGAAGTTCTTGGGTTGCGTAGAATAGAGGGTGCGACACGTGGCGGGGGGAATTACGTGAGTTGTTATTAATGTTGGTTAGGGGATACAAAAGTGCCTGGGAACTAGGTAGTTATGTAGTTCATGAAAGTCTTTGAGTGAGTGTCGTTCTGCGGTTGGGTACTTGACTTGTGGTGTTAGGACTGATCGGTCGCCGGAGAGATGTTCACAGTTATTAAGATTGTACGTCTTAGAAGATAGAGTGTGGCGTGTGAGAGCGGGAAAAGAGTGCTATGGGAGTCTGATTAGTAAACGAATATTGGTGTTGTAGTCTTGAGAGAGAGAGAAGAGGCGGGGGCTGGGGAGATTTGGATGGAGGACAGAGGAGACAGTCGAGTTTTTGGAGGTAGAGAGAGTGTGGAAAGAAAGGGAACTGAGTGTGAGCGGGTAGTTACTAAGTCGCTGGGTAGGGAAAGTTAGCGTATGTTAGTCAAGAGACGGGTGAATGGTTTTTATGATGTTGGTTTACCTAACTGCGGTCTTTACTGTGGCGTTAGGGAAGGAGAATGAGACCTGAGACAAAGACTGTTCGTGATTGGTGGACAGTGCGAGTATAAAGACTGAGGATTCTACCAAGCTAGAGAGTGGAGTGGGCGAAGGGGAGAGAGTGTTGTTACCCGAGGAAGTAGTGCAGTGTCTTGGTGCAAGTTGTCTGGTAAGGGTGGCAATAGATTCAGTCGCTTACGCAGTTTGTGTCCTGGAACGAACTCAACATCGTTTGCTACCTCTACTTGTCTGCTTTACTAGGCTGGGGGTGTGGGACTCGCAAACAAGTAGTAGTGGGTCTGGACTTCTTCGGTAACTATAATTTTGGGTAAATCTGGGTGGGCTCATTTGTGTGTCTCCTTCCACCCTGAGATAAACAGCCCACGAATTGGAGACGAATTACAAGTTAAGTTTGTTACACATGAAACACCTATGAATATAATACGGGTTAGACTGATAGCAGTAAGTACATAAGTCTAGTAAACGCAACTGTAAGTGCCTCGTATTACCTTGAGCACTCTCAATTTGATTTGTGGAGGAGTATTAGGTGGAACATCAACTTGTGAGGGTTTCGACCTATGTTAGTCGTACACATGGAATCAGATTTTTACATTGGTGTTGCAATAAGACTGAAAGGTGCAGCTTTCATGAGTAACGCGTCTTACTAAAACTGAACAATTTCATTCTTTACTTCGATTTTCAGGAATTTTGAATTTTGTTATTTGCCGGTGAGATTCTAAATTTCTTGTAAGGTATTTCTTGTCAGTGAATTTGCGTCCGGTTCTGTGGTTTTGTTAAGGTTTGTTCGTACTTTAGCGTGTGCGTGCATGTCGCATAATGTTACACACACACACACACACTGTTTCCACTGCAGGCGTGGTGCCGGATCTTCAGGTCGGTTGACTAATCTGTGGCTGTGTGAGACAGTCAACATTCAATATTAAATTAGATATTTTATATTTCTGCTGCCTAGTTCAAACAAAGTGCTTATTAGCAAATGTTAGCATGCTGACGTTAGCATACTCAAGCTACGATAATATGGTTAGTCATTTTTGGAAAGTGGAACCACACATTTATTTTGAACTAGTAGCAAACTCAGTTATTCAGTTTGGTTTTTAATTAGGTGAATCTCGCACTGTCTGCCTTTGTGTTGTGTCGTAATTATAAGAATGAGTAGCCCTACAATATAATTTGTTGTTAGCATAGCAACGTTTTTTTGCAAAAATATTAAGCTGGTCCATCCAGGTTTGCTTCCAATTTATGTCTTTCTTGAAAAACACTTATTATTTATTGCGGAACTAACTAAAACTCATTAAATGGTATGTGTTACACAAAATATACTTAGATGACATTTTAATCAGATTTTACGTACACGTTTTCACATATTGGTGTCTTATGGCGCATTTCCACTACAGCGCGGTTGAAGCGTGCCATGCCCGGTCCGTTTTTGGTTGCGTTTCCACTAGGCGTAGGTCCGGCTAGCGGGTACTTTTTCACAGTTTTCTGGCTCTCCAAAATCGAGGTACTTTCCGGGCCAACAACCAAGCTGAGTATACTAAACTAGTGAGAGCATCGCTGGCAACTACAACAAAATGAACATATTTTACTGTGGTTTAATTGTAATACATGTTTCAAAAATGATGCCGAAACTGATACCGGTTAGTAAAAACCATGAATTAATGCTTTGACAAGTCTGCAGACAGACGGCAGGCGAAAAACCTTTTTAAAATGCGTGTTTTCTGAATGGAGATTAGCTAAGCTAACGCAGTATATGCTCCGACCGTCCACACTCACAACAACGGCCTACAGACATAAATAAACCAGCGACTGTGTTCTCCATGACACAGACAGTCTGTGGTTTGTACTTGTTTAACGGAAGCTCCGTTTACACCGGTTGTTAAACAACATCGTTATGGGGAAATGCAAGTTTGCTTCCAAATGGTTGGAAGATAAGGAGGAAGGACAATCCATACTGTATATAGTCAATGTGAGGTAAAGTGTCGCCAATGTAACCGGTTAAAACTCGAAGTGTCGATAAGGTCTTAAAATGTATGGAAAAGGTCTTGAAAGGTATTATATTTGATTTCAAGATTCCTGCATACACCCTGTAAAAAGTCTTAAATATGATCAAAAACATAAGAAAGGTCTTAAAAATGATGGGATGTGAAAGGTACTTCTGTGTTGCGATCGCGTCTAAATGTGTTTTAGGGGAAATGTCCGGACTTCAAAAGTTGAACATTGCTCAACTTTTGAATCCTGGAAATCTTCGCTTTGCTTCCCCACAATGCAGTTCGGCGAGGCAAAGTGACGTCATCACCATTCAAAGTCAATGGGCAGAGAAGCGTTGGAAGATTTTTTTAAAGCTGCTGTGTGGACGTACCGTAACTTTGTTTCCCCCAGCCCCTTATCGTAGAACACCCAGCTAGTAACCTAGTGGTAACCAATCAAGTTTCAGCTAGCGGCCGTCAGAAACCTTGGTATCTTCGAATCTGCTTACAAATAAATATGGGGAAGTGTAAGTTCAACCGTATTTGGTTGGGAAAAAATCACATTTAGTGCTTGGTTGAAATCAGTGGAGGGGGACATGTTTGAAGCCCGCTGCAACTTTTGCAAACAAAATTAGCCTTTGTTTAGCTAACGCAGCGTTGGCTAGTGCAGCAGCTCCCGCAACAACACCGGGGGACCTCCGGGTGAAGTTTGAGTCTACGTCAACCCTAAAAGCGGTAGGTGCTGTGGACGCTGAACACCAATCATACATGAAGAATGACACGACAGCATGAAGACAGCAGAGCTCTGACTATAGACACACACACACACACACACACACACACACACACACACACACACACACACACACACACACACACACACACACTCTCTCTCTTTGTCTAACACAGTTCTGTGTGCTGTTATGTTCAGTCATCGTTCTTATGTTGAACATGAATACATTTACTTTGTAAGTAATTATGGGATATATTTCTTCTTTCATCAGCAATTTTCCTTCATACTTTCTTGCCGTGAAATAGGTCTTGCAAAGTCTTACATTTAAGTTGGTGAAACCTGCAGGAACCCTGTGATTGGTATCAATTCAAATGTCCTAAAGCTGTATATTGTGAGGTGATAGAAAAGTATCTTTGCTTGGCTGCCGTTATTTGTACTAATGCTCCTCTAACTGTTTCTCATAACAATGTCCTGACGCTCCTCTGTTCCTCAGTACCGGTCAGCGGCCTACGTGACGACCCCCCAGCAGTACCCGGTCCCTGCAGGAACGCCCGGTTTCTACCCCGGCACCAGCCCCGCTGAATATGGTACTTACGGTAAGAGGCTCTACCTGGGCCTCACCTGAGACACAAAGCTACACACACTAAGCTACACGCACACTAAGCTGCTTCATAATCCAACATAGGAGCCATCTTGATATCCGACATAATATTTGGATTTGCCCGCAGAGGCTTATTGTTGTTAGATTGATGGGTTCTGATATTGCTTTTAGTTAATGCGCTAACACACACTCTCATAAATCTTATTAATGAAACACAAGAAAATACATTAAAAAAAAAAAACACTATCTCAAAGAGTAAGTACACACAGCAGGTGCAGTCAAATGGACTAGTGCTATATACAATAGCAGTAAGGGCAATATTTGGTAAATGTAAACTATGTGGAAATATGTGAATGAAGTATTGAGGATCTGCAGAGAAGCCACCGTCAAACAGTGTTCGACAGACCTAATTAAAAAATCCTTCTTTGGAACAGATCATTTTTGGCGCACGGTAATTTAATAAATATTTCACGTTGATAATATGAATAAAGTTTATTAAAAAGGTCATTTTCTCCCTTGTATCGTGACTCATTTAGCAATTGCAATATCAGTCAAACATAATTGAAATTAGATTTTTTTTTTTTTGTGTTCAGCCCTACTTAAGATAACTAGTCTAAAATAATGCTATAATAATAGTGCAAGTGACAAAGTGGTGCAAGTTAATCCAAGAATAAGTATCCATATATGTAAAATACAATTAGATTAAACAAATTGTGTCAATGAAATACTGTTAGGTAGAATCAAATATTAGGTAAAACAGGTTCAAACACCAATTTCATCAAAAGGGGTAGCATGGTTTAGCATTAGCTTGTTATATAGGATCAGTAATAGTTGTTGTTTGTTTACAACTACTTCTTAGTTGTTTGTGCTGTACTTTAGCACAACTGATTGACCCTCCATGTCGTGTTCATTTAGCAAATCACATGTCATGTTGTGAGGTGATTTAAGCACATGACCCTAAATAACCGGTCATGTGACAGTGACACACAGCTCTCAATTTCCAAAGTGGCTCAACTACTAAATGGGTTTTAAAAAGGTCGTTTCAGGAGACGTTAAAAAGTGGTACAGTATATGGCAATCATTGGTCTTTACGCCCGCGATGTGCACCATAAAATGTGTGTAACTGCATGGTAACAATCCCTAAATACAAACCCAACACCCCCCTCTGATGTCTTCAAAGTGGTACAGTCTGTTTGTCCATTGAGTCCTTTTCTAGCCGTCAGGTGAAGACACAAACACGGTGCTGACGGAGTATGGTAACTATTTTTAAAACTTCCCTCCCTCCTTATGTTGTATGATTTGATTAACTCACCCCCACAGACATACACACACTCACCCCCTCCCCTGTAGTTTGTTGTGAGGCCAGAGTGGCTCGGATAACTTATTCAGGGGGGAGAAATAGGGGAGTCTTTCTGCAAATCAAATCCACTCTGAAGCCCCTTTTCACCGGACTAAAACGACATTAACATCTGGCTTTTATCCTTGGAAACAAAGGTTAACAGTGCCCAGGAAGTTGAAAGATTACTAACAAAGATCCATGGATTGTTGTGGTATTAATAGAAAACATCCCCAAGTCACTGTTAAACCGAGTGTTGTTCATTCTCAGGCAAAGACTCAGTAGTATTAGAGCTGGGTAACATATTGATATTTTATCGCTAGCATGAAATAAGACCAGATATCGTCTCAGATTTTGGATATTGTATATAATAAGTGTCGTCTTTGCCTGGTTTTATTGCAGTAAACTAATCTATTATCTGGACTGTTCAAGCAGCTCTAGATTTGCTAACTTAGTCGTATCCACATTACTAATGAGTATGTATTGAATTGCCATAAATATTGTTTTAAAGCACAAATGGACCAGCCTTATGTAACAGTATTTAAATGCTGCGTTCGGCAGTTATTGAAATCTAACAAACAGAAAATACACCAAGATATTTACTATTAGAACAATTATTACCACATGAATCCCGGTCTCTGAAAAGCCCTTTTCCCATGTGACACAAATCCACTAACAGCTGGCTTTTGTCTTTACTGGGAAAAGTTGCAATTGGCATTTTAACTCTGCACTAATGACAGTATGTATCAGCAGCAATCTGTAGCGACGGAAACACACCTGTTTACGTGTTGAAGTTAATATACATTTGAAAGAAAATGGTATTTGGACAATTAGCATTATTTATTACAGTTTTTAATCATAGCCCCTTTGAGTTAATCCCCTTTTCCCCATTAGACAACAAATTCACTTTACTTCTGGCTTTTGCCTTCATTGGGAAACAAACTTCATTAAATACTGGGACAAATAACTCCGGCAGTGGTCTTAATATTTACCAGATACATGAGACCCCGATTTCCTGCAATCAGGGAAACCAAAAAAAAAAAATACAATTACTATGCTCTCCTCTAAGCCACCAGTAAACACACATTTACCTGGCTCAATGTAATAAAAACACGCTATTTACGCTGGACAAAAACTAAATAAAACTCTACAAAATGAATTTTCTACCGCTCATCAACGACTAACTAGTTTAAAAGAGAGAATCAATACGTAAAAAAAAAAGACTTTTCCACTGTGAGACTCTCCACTGTTTACTATAACCTTGCTTCTGGTGTCCTTGGCGTCCAAGTTAACATTCCTGCTATGGTTAAAGGACAATATCCTCTATTTTTAGCTGGTTTTACCATGTTTAAAAACCTGCAAATACACGTTAACGTTGCTGGAAAAAGGGGGCTAGAATAACTCAACTTAAAAGTTATCTCACCCAGTTCTCTGTTTTCCAGAAAGAGTGAAAGGCAGTAAAGGAATCATGAAGTAATTATAGCATTTGATTGTTTTAATAAGACTTGATCACTGTATTTTGTAACAATGCAACATGTATGTACGGCTGGATCACATGCAGATACTGTAAATGGAGGGAGAGGGAGAGGGAGAGAGGAAGTCGGGGGGGAAAGGAAGTGAAAGGCAGGGGAAGAATCAGGAAGGTCAGAGGGAGGAGCGTCAGGGAGACACGCTGGAAGAGGGAGGGCTGAATGTTAAAAGCAGTCACTCTGAGAGGGCACCTGTAGAGAGGACAGGAAGGAGTCAGAGAGGGGGTTTCTGTTCAAACCCCCTCTCCTTTTTCCGTCTAGTTTTTTTTGCATTCGGAAAAAGGAATTCAGTGAGCATGGGGAACCGAGGGTCTCGAGAGCCGGAGGACTCTGAGGGTAGGTGTTTGTCCACCTCCTCCTCTCCTTTTATCTCCTAATCTTTGCACTTTGTGTCATATCTCGAGACAAAGTTCTACGACTTCGTCCAAACAAAAGTCTCGTACTGGCTTCTATTCTCCCTCTCTGTTTCTGTCGTCTCTCCCTGTCCCTCTCTTTGTCTCTCTTTCTGTCTTCCCTCCCTGACCCTCTCTTTCCCTCTTTCTCCTGCGCTCTCTTCCCCCAGCCGGTGTGGGTTTTTTTGGGACTATATTTAGGCCGTGCTGCTGCTGGTCAACAATGCATACTCAGTGCAGAGTGGGAGAGCAGCAGGAGCGGGAGAGAGAGAGGCCTCTGGTAAAGGGAAAGAAAAGTCCTCAGAGGCCTTTTTGAAATGGGTTGCAACTGGTTCTAAGCTGGAGCTGAGGCCAGTGGACAGTTTGGGTTAAAACAGAGGAACCTTGGATTTCTCTGGAGTTTCTGTTGGCAGCAGATTTATTGACAAGGCTGTGTCATGGTCTGAAGGGCCTATCTGTAAGGTCTTAAAGGTCCCATGTCATGCTTTTCTGGTTATCACCCGTCCCCTTGTGTGTTATGAAGGTTTTTCTGCATGTTAACGGTCTGCAGAGTCAAAACCCTCAAAGTACACCCTGTAGCGAGTAAAACTCTAACACAGAAAATACCTCCCCAAAACGCCTCGTTGGAGATACGTCATCATCCATTTGATTCTTCCGGGTACGTGCTTACGAAAGCACGTACCCGGAACTGAATGGCCCAATCCGTGGAGCCGTTACGTTAGGTCCGCGGAGCCGTTACGTTAGGTCCGCGGAGCCGTTACGTTAAGCCCCCGCTGATTGGTCCAAATTGACCAATCCACGGACTTCCTCACACACACACTCAGTGCAGGCAGCTCTGCTGATCTCTCCTCCCTGGCTGCAGGCTGATAACAGACAGTTGGGATCGAGGCAAAATTCTCTCTGCAGACCCATTCTCACAGCGTTTATCAACCTTTTTCTTACTCAATATCAAGCCACACTTATTGTTTTTACTTCGGCTGTGACTTTGTGTGTGCTCAGGGTGAGTTTGGCTATGTTTCACTGTCGCTAAACAAGGAAACCACACCTCCGCGGAGCTCAGCGCGATTCACAACGTCCCGACCAATCAGAGCACACTGTGCTCACAGGGAGGGTGGGGGCTGGAGCTATTGGAGCCACAACGAGCCGTTAAAGGCAGAGAGTGAAATTCAGTGAATACACGTAGTTTACAGAGATGCTGTATGAGAAACCAATGTGAGTTTGGAAAATTGCACAATATAAATCTATTTTAGTAGACCTCAACAATGGAATTATGATCAGTGGAAATGGCCATGACATGGGACCTTTAATGCTTTTAATGCATGGGTTCCAAGGGTCCCATTTAAAAAATGATGGATTTAGGTAGTATAAAATAGCGTTGTATAAGTCTCCACAACATTACATTTTATATTAAATATGTATGCAGCTCTCTCAAAAGAACCCATTAAACTATCAGTTTCTCTTTATACAAAGATTAAGCGGCCTTGTCCAACGCAGCAAGCTAATGTCAGCAAAGATTTTGGAACAGCCAAGACTCTGAGTTTGTCCACAGCCTGTACTTGCGGATACGCTGGTTATCTATCGGTTTGTACAATGTGTTGTTACACACGGAGACCAACACATGCTATGGCATCTACCACCCCCATGTGGAGTAATGGATCTCACCCCAAGCCGTGGCTGGAGCCTGTGAGTTATAATGGTAGTGGGGGCTTCTACATTGTAAATCACAGAGGGGCGTCTGTTCGGCTGACGCGCTTTGGGAGACTATGCAGGTAGGATCTGCTACCAAGACGCTCAGCATAGACACTCACAGGGAAAGAAAGAAGGCCAGGCTTGCACATGGCATGGATGGTGGCCTCTGTTCTTTTTGTGTTATATTGGGTTGCTGGATATTCAAAGGGAACTTAGGAGATGAGCATGAGCTGGGGTGTATATTCTGTCCACGGCAAAGGACCACGTTGTTATGTTTTATTTGTTGCTCGCTAAGAGAAGGCTTTGCAGCTTTGGGTAAAGCTGTTCAGCGCGGTTCACCTACACTGCGTTCTGCTGCGCGTACACATACACGCAGCTTATCTGTAAGGAATGTTGTATACAGTTATTCATTGAAAAGTGGGCATTTAGGTCTGACTTTGCTTTATGGCAGAGTATGCATGTAAATGTCAGAGGAAAAAGCTGAGTAATTTAAGAGCGATACATATTGCGAGCAAGTAAGAGTATGACTTATAGTATGAGATTGTTTATATAGTTATTATTTTTGCTGTCCATAAAAGTTATGTGATTTTGTAAATAGTGTTAGAAGGGAAGGAAATACGCGCTGAGGAGCAGTAGGGTGGCGATTTTTTTCGGTCTCTATGGCATTAGGGAGTGTGGATTGAAAGCAGAAGTGGTTGTATTGTATTTCTGATTGATTATTCGAGCCCGGTGTTCCGAAG